ATGTTCATAGCAGCATTATTTGTAATAGCCGGAACCTAGAAGCAGCCTAGATGCCCCTTAACTGAAGAATGGATAGAGAAAATGTGGTACATTTACACAGTGGAGTATTAGCTGTTAAAAACAATGGCATCTTGAAATTCACAGGCAAATATATGGAACTAGAAGAAACAATCTTGAGTGAGGTAACCCAGACACAGAAAGACAAAGACTGTGTGTATTCACTCATAGTGTGTATCAGACATAGAGCAAAGGATAACCAGACTACAATCCACAACCCCAGAGAAACTAGGAATCTAAGAGGACCCTAAGAGAGACATACATGGACCCCTGCTCCCGAAAAGGGGATAGGGACAAGAGCTCCTGAGCAAATTGGGAGCACGAGGGGAAGGGGAGGGAGGTAGGAAAAAGAGGAGGGAGGAGGAGACCATGAGGGATCAGAAAGATTGAGTCAGGGGAAGATTAGAGGAGAGCAAGAAAATAGAGGGAGACATTATAGGTTTAAAAAGAAATCTGGCACTAAGAAAATGTCCAGAGATACACAAGGATGAGTCAACTAACAATCTAAGCAATAGTGGAGAGGCTACCTTAAATGCCCTTTCCTGATAATGAGATTGATGACTACCTTATATGCCATCCTAGAGCCTTCATCCAGTAGCTGATGGAAGCAGAAGCAGACACCCACAGCTAAACACTGAGCTGAACTCCTGAAATCCAGTTGCAGAGAGGGAGGAGTGATGAGCAAAGGGGTCAAGACCAGGCTGGAGAAACCCATAGGAACAGATGAGCAAGTGGGAGTTCACGGACTTAAGACTGTCAGCTGGGGAACCTGCATGCCCCCTGAAGGAGGGTGTCATTTGGGGGGATTGGGTAGTCTATGGGGCCACCAACAATATCCCTTGTGCATGAACTGGCGTTTTGGAGCCCATTCCCTATGGAGGGATATTTTCTCAGTCTAGATGCAAGGGAGAGGGCCTCGGTCCTGTCCCAAATGATGTGACAGACTTTGAAGATCTCCCATGGGAGGGCCACCCTCTCTGAGGAGTGGATGGGAAGATGGTGGGGGATGAGAGGACAGGACGAGAGGGAACTGGGATTGGTATATAAAATAGGATTGTTTTTAATTTAAATTTTAAAAAATAAAAAAAATTAATGATTAAAAAAATAAAAAAACTCTCCATGAATTTATATCTATCAGACCTGCCTTTCAGAAATATAAACAAAAAAGCTTAAATAAACTGACTGCATTTAACTGGGCGTTGGTGGCGCACGCCTTTAATCCCAGCACTCGGGAGGCAGAGGCAGGAGGATCTCTGTGAGTTCGAGGCCAGCCTGGTCTCCAGAGAGAGTGCCAGGATAGGCTCCAAAGCTACACAGAGTAACCCTGTCTCGAACAACCTAAATAAATAAATAAATAAATAAATAAATAAATAAATAAATAAATAGATTTTAATTTATAAAATGAGTGAAGCTCGACACAGCAGTGCATGCCTATAATGCTAACATTGGGAGACTGGGGCAGGAAGGTCAGAATTTCGAGACCAACCTGGGCTACACCTAAATAAATTAATAATTACCTGACTGGAGTCCAAAGAAGAGCTCCTCGTCCTGAAGCAGCTCCTGGACACAGTCCAGCCTCATGTTGATGGTCTCCACGTCAACCAGTGGCTCTAGTATGTTAGAGCGCAGCCTCCTGCTACCTCCCGCGGTCTTGGTGTAATTTAAAACACCAAAGAGAGTGTGATTATTCCTTCCAAAAGACAAATTGGAAATTTCATTAAGGAGAAAAAGAAAATTTCTTTTTAACTTTGTAATGAAATAATCCTATGATCTATATCAGTGATTCACAAATTTTATTATACAGACAAACATGGGGATCCTAATTTAATAAATCTCAGTTAAGGCCTAAAACCTACATTTTGTTTTATGTTTATGTTTTATTGATTAGCTAGCACAGGCTGTCCCTGAACTTGTTACATACTACAGTGTGACCTTGAAGTCAAGATCCTCCTAACTCCACCTCCTAAGTGCTGGTATTAGAGGTACAGTATGCAAGCAAGCCTGGTTTGAGAGTTTGCTTGCTAGATCCCAATTATGACATCATGAGCCACATGGTGATTAGCCAGGCTCAATGGTATCTCCCACTCTAAAACTGAGCACCCAAGGCAGACTCGGATCCTAACTCCATGGGCTTTACCTGTCAAAGGCAGTGGTAGCTTGAATGAAACTGGCTCATAGGGAGTGGCACTATTAGGAAACATGGCTTTACTGGAGGACATATGGCCTTTGTGAAGGAAGTGTGTCACCGTGGAGGTAGACTTTGAGGTTTTCTATGCTCAAGCTACACCCAGTGTCACAGTTCACTATCTGCTGCCTACAATCAAGCTGTGGGGCTCTCAGTTCCTTCTCCAGTCAGCCTGCATGCCGCCACGTCCTGCCATGAATATAACAGACTAAGTCTCTGAAACTGTAAGCGAGCCATCCACATTACATGTTTTCCTTTATAAGAGTTGCTATTGTCATGGTGTCTCTTCACAGCAATAGAAATCCTAACCAAGACAGTGATGATGCCAATAATTTTTATTAACCTATTGATATGACTAAGGACAAAACAAAGAAGAGGGAGAGAGAGACACAAATCTTAATCATATAAAAAATGATCTTGGTCTGATATGATGACTCAAGTGGGTGAAGGTGTCTGCCACCAAGACTGGTGACCTGACTTTGATCCCTGGAGGTCACATGGAAAAGAAGAAAACCAACTCTTGCAAGTTGTCCTCTGACTTTTACACACATGTTAAAAAATATGTGTGTGCCAGGTGGTGGTAGCACACGCCTTTAATACCAGTACTCAGGAGGCAGATACAGGTTGTTCTCTGTGAGTGCCAGGATAGGCTCCAAAGCTACACAGAGAAACCCTGTCTCAAAAAAGCAAACCAAAACCAAAAAACAAAACATAGTAATAATGTGTGAGCATGCACATACCCTTAAATCAATGTAAAACAAAAATTTAAATAATTGTCAGGATTATTCATTGACTTTCTATGCTCTGATAATGTTAAGGAGGGTAACAGAAAAGTAACCATAGAGCAGCTTCAGTGGACGTGCTAGTGACGGTAAGTGGCAGCTAAATGCAAACATCTGTGTTTTCTTCTGACAAGTGATGGTGAGCATCCAGCCATGCACTTATTGGTGTGCACACAGAAACCTAACTTTTACCTCATGGGGGAGAACAGATGGTCTATTCTGGAGCCAAATGGGAGTGGACCATGGCCCAGGAATGCAGATTTAGGCTACTCCAAATTCCATGTTCCAACATGGATCCAGTTTCATAAAACATCTATTGTAACAGAACAAAGGTCCTAAAGCGAGGTGCTTTGTAATACACTGGGGATGCACAATAGGGAAAACCGCAAAGCAGAGACATTTCAGCCACAGGCCTCAGGTGCCATCTGATGACTCTTGGCCTTTAGGTTGGTAAAACATAGTTTTGCTTATATGTTCCTAAACTATTTTATCTGTGCGTCACAGGGTGCTCAATACGGTACAGAGGTGGGCAAGAGATGGCTGTTAAAGGCTAAAGATATTTCAAGGTAAACTGTAATCAGGCTCTCCACAAGCAACTGTCCAGCCTCTCCACAACCACTGCTGCCTGATCTCAGTTAATCAGCCTTGGGGGACAGCACAGTGGAAGGCATAGCGTTGTCCTGGGAACTTGTGCTCACTCTGGGCATTGGCATCAGTTTATCTACTTTCCTTATGGTCCTTCATCCAATCTTGGATATTGAAGGTTTGTTTTTTGTTGTTTAGTGAAGTCTTATTTTGAAAACCTGACTTTGTGAAAAATCTGGGTTCAGCAACAACAGGGCACTGATTTAAAATGCCTATTTACTATTTCTCCACCAATAACTTAATGAAAACTTTCAAACAGTGGCATTTCATAAGAACAACTGAGACTGCCTTACCTGTAGTCCTGGCTGTTAACCAGCAATTCGAGGTTCTGGGCTGATGAGGAGTCTACCATGGCGGTCTGTTCACTGCCTTGGAAATAAATCTTCAGCGACTTTGGTGCATACACTGAATTTTGAATGAATTCGACATATTTTAGCAAGGCTGCAGCAGCTGCAAGGCAGTAATACCTGTGAGTGACCACGGTACAGCAGTGTAAACTTAGGATAAATAAACAGCTGCTGCTGCAGGAAGAGAAATTTAATTCACCTTAATATTAGGAAAATTTAAAAATTAGACAGCATTTCTTAAATCCTTTGGAAAGTAAGTACATAATCTTATAAAACTGACTTGACAATGGGCAAATGCCTATTTGGTTTTGAAGCAGTCTGTCTTTCTAGCTCAGGACTGCCTGAATCCACCACAATCCCTGAGCATCCTCCTTACAAGTGCTGAGAATTCATCCATAAGAAGCAGATTTTTGAAGTCTATCACTTGCAGGATATATATTTCAACAAACTGCTGGTTAGAAGACAACATGCAGCCGGGCCCAGTGGTGCTCGTCTTTTAATCCCCACATTCAACAGGCAGGGGCCAACATGGTCTACACAGCAAGCTGCAGGCAAGCCAGGGATACATGGTGAGATGGGGTGGGTGGGAGGGGACAAAGAAAAGGAGTAGTTTGCTCATTTATTTATCGGGCTTTTTTTTTTTTTCCTTTTCTTTTTCTTTTTTTCTTGTTTTTGTTCTTTCCAGACAGGGTTTCTCTGTGTAGTCCTGGCTGTCCGGGAACTTGCTCTGTAGACCAAGCTGGTCTTCAAATCAGAGATCGCCTGCCTCTGCCTCCTGAGTGCTGGGATTAAAGGCGTGTGCCTTCACTGTCTGGCTGTAGTTTGTTTCTCAAGACAGTCTTACTTTGTAGGCCTGGCTAGCCCGGAGTTTAACTGGCCTCAAACTTGCAGCAATCCTCCTGTCTCAGCCCCTGGAGAGCTAAGATCACAACCATAGGCCACTATGCCTGGCTAACTGTGTTTCTCTTTGGGACTTGAATCTCTAGTCATGGTTTTCACTATGAGGTGAGTGAGCATCTACTAGCAGAGCAATAAATTACAATTCATTTGGAGAAAATCTAAATTGAATCATAAATATACATCTTGTGCAAGTTTCCATTGCTCTTGTATTTCAGTTATAACTGGATGTGTACTGTGGACCAGGTCCTTTTCTAGGTGGTAGATAGTAACAGAGCAAGAACAGGACAGAGAGCAGATCCCCGCTGTGAGGCCCAGCACTGACTCACCTGGACTGCACTTCCATCAGAACAGAGCTGAACTCTGCCGTGCACAACTGCTCAATGTACTCTAAGCCCTTTGTTTCATTGAAGTATTTCCTTTGGACTGTAGTGAAATTAACGTTCTGAAAAGATACGTTATGAATGACGTATGATGTAATGAAATATACGTTACGTATGACGAATGACATAATGAAAAAATAAATCATTAAATGTCATGCTCTTGATCAATACTGATCTCTTACCTAAGCCTAGTGGACCTGAAGGGACCAGCCCCCCCCATTTCGGCAGCCATGACAGTAACACCTGCTCGCAATGACCTTGCCTTGGTCACTAAGAGGTCAGATGCCTGCCTCGTGGCAAGGAACCAATCAGAAGTTAGTTGGTGGTGCTATGCTTTATGGCTCTGGGTGTGCTTTATGGACAGGTGCTCAACAATGACGCACAGAGCATAGCAACCACCCTGGGAGGGTCTATGGGCCATAACAACCAATTGGCCAATCAACACAGGGCAAGCCCTCCAAGCCTGGAGGCACACCAATCCTGAGCCTGTGCATACTCCTAGACACTCCCCTTACGCTGCCCTACAAGATCGATCGGCGTGTCTTTGCTAGCCATCTGCCATGGCGGGTAGGTGAAAGACCAGAGCTAACATGGGGTTAGCTCGTTAAAAACAATAAAGCCTCATGCAGTTTGTATCAAGCTCTCGAATCTGCCTGGTGATTGGGGTGACCATGGTTGTGGCCTGGGACCCCGGATACCTGAATTTTTCCGGGGGTCTAACAGACCACACCTATAATCCCAACACTGGAGAAGCTGAGGCAGGATTTTCCTGAGCTCAAAGTGGAGTAAAACCATGTCTTAAAAACAAAGCAATCTTAGGCTCCAAAGCTACACAGAGAAATCCTGTCTTGAAAAAACAAACAAAAACAAAACAAAACAAAGCAATCTGCACAAAATAACTCTGATTTCTTAGACACTTTGTAGTGTAAGTAGGTATCTTAAATATCATAGAAAGTTAGTTTTACTGTTTCCAATATTTATATAATTTTTTTCTCATTTTTAAAACAAAAATGGCAGCTGAGTAGTGGCACCAGCCTTTAATCCCAGCACTTGGGAGGAAGAAGCAGGTGTATCTACCTCTGTGAGCTGGTGGCCAGCCTGGTCTACAGAGTGAGTTCCAAGTCAGCTAGAGCGACATAGTGAGACCCTGTCGAAAATAAAGAAAAGAGGAAGGAAGGAAGTAAAGAAGGAAGGAAGGAAGGGACGGGATCCATAAATGGGAGTCCATTACATCTTGCTCAAATCACTCCTTTTGTCCTTAAGACATTAGCTTAATGGCCTTGGTGGTAAATGTCTCCTATTTAAATAACAATAGACTTGGGCCTAGGCGGGTTTACTCTCACCCTGAAGCCTAGGTGGTAAGTGACTGAAGGCCAAGTAGTATGAGCATCTAGAGCACCTACGTCTTTAGGATTACAGGAATTGCTATTTGTCCTTTATACATGACAATTGAAGTCTTCTGTCATTGTCCCCACCTTTGGTTGATTATTTAAGATGGTAGATGAATAAATTGAGACACACTCAGTAAGGACTGAATCTGCCTTCCTGACAGATATTCTGTGTCTCTGACTCTTAACTCTTTTAGCTAGCCTTTCCCTCATCCACACTCCCCGACTCAGGAGTGGACCCAGGGCTGATCTGCTGGTCCCGACTGCAGCCCCACAAACACCAGTCCTCAACATATGGTGCCCAACATGGGGCTCAGAACGGGGTGGGGGGTGGCGATGGTGATGGACACCACAGAGGAATAGACGACACAGGTGTACAAGTGTGAAGAGAGCGCTCAGGAAAAAAGTAAAGTACGGTGAATGAACACTGTAAGTCAGGAGTAAAAATGCATATAATTGTAGATATGAAACAGGAAAATATTAGTCAGATGACAAAGAAGTGAAGCTTGGTTAGTTAACCTTAAGAGTGAAAATGTATATAATTGTAGATATGGAACAGAGAAATATTAGCCAGATGATAAAGAAGTGAGTTAACCTCGAGGGTAAAAATGTATATAATTGTAGATATGGAACAGAGAAATATTAGCCAGATGATAAAGAAGTGAGTTAACCTCGAGGGTAAAAATGTATATAATTAGAGATACGAGACAGAGAATTATTAGTCAGATGACTGCATATTTACTTTCGTATACTTTAATAGCCAGGAGTGCTAGAATAAAGCAGAAACAAGTACAGAAATTTTTAAAGTTTGAAAATGTTGTAAGGATCCTTTCCCCTTATAGAAGTCACCACTGCAGCTGTCTCAGAGCTGTGCCGGGGCTTGGGCAAGCAAAGGTGTGGCCCCACATATGGGCCAGGTCAGCAGGACCTCTGGGTGCCAAGAACTCAGAGTTGCTACAATGACTTTCACCTTTGACTTTCAAGCAGCTGCAGCCACAGATGACTTGCAGCGGGCCAGTCCAGGCCCAAGGGGGAAAGGTGAGCCAAGGCCTCCAGAATGCTCAGTCCCCAGTGGGAAGGCCAAGCCTAGGAAGCCTGCAAGTTTAGGAGCTGCTACCGTGGCTGACGCCCAACCAAGTGTATAGAAAATGCTAATTAGTGCAGCCAGTCAGAAACTGTTTTAAGACCTTATAGAAAAAAAGGTTAGTTATAGCTGCTGTATTACAAGAGATTTCAGTTAAATCCAACAAACTCATCATAGGCCAGGGGAAGATGTATGTATGTTCTGTATGTGTGATGTGGCCACACTCATGTGTGAAGTGTGATTGTGAATGCATGAATCCTAACACAAGGACCTACTCCACTTGCTCTGGATATAGCTAAAAAGGGCATCAAGTCAGTCAGTGTCTTAACAGGAAGGGTTGGTGATCTGCGCCTCCCACGGCTGGCCCCAGAGCCGGTCAGCAGAAAATGGCTGCCCGTCTTTCTGTGTGATTGACAGTACAATCTGTAACTCTCAATTAGAAATTACTTTCATGAACCCTACTGAATATATTAAGGACAATAATAAAACAATAAGCATGAGAGCCTCTGGCATCTAGGAGTTGTATTCCACAGAAACATCACAGGTTTTCAGGTTCTCTGAAAGCTAAATCGACAGACGGGAGATCACTCAAGAGTGAGATGGTGACGCCTGGGCTATTCCATTGTTTATTTTTGTTTCTCGAGACTAGATGTACCTGCCCAGTCTGAAGGGAGCAGTCAAAAGCACCGTGGCCTAAGCTCCACCATTTTGAGTCCAGATTCTGTTTTAACTGTAGGGTGAAATAAAGTTCAGGTTCCCAAGCCCTAGCCAAGCTGAGAACTTTCCAATAGCTGGCCAACCTTCTCCCTTAACCATGGAAATAGTGGTTATGCATCTTTAGTCCTCTAGAAACATGTTTAACAACAGAAAGAACAAATGATTCTGATTTGTTAGGCTGAAAGTTGTATTGTATATCAACTGAAATGATGGAACAGTCAAGGAAGCACCTAATCTCTAAGTCCTGATTGGTGAAAATTGTAACTATAACTTGGCAACAAATGTTTGTGATTTTTGTGCTTATAAACCCCACTTCTGCCCCTTCTTAGGGCTGTCCAGAGAAACCTGGTTCCCAAGTCCTTGTCCTTCAATCCTGCTTGATCAGTGACCCACTTATGTGGTCATTTATTAAAGTCTTTGGAACCCATAAGTGTTCTCTCTCTCCTTCCTTGTGGCACATAACGGGCTAGTTATAACAAGTGAGGGTGTACTGGGTACCATGTCCAATGATAGTGGCTCTCCTTATTTAATGAAACAGAGGAAAGAGAAAATAAAGTTGTGAAATAAGGGTTGCACTGAGGTGAGGGCAACAGGATCATGAGTTCAAGCCAGCCTGCAGCAGTCCATGAGATCCTAACTCAGAGAAGGTCCTTTCCCCCAGAAAGTAATGGACAATGAAGAACGGAACAATGGACTCTGGAGTATGTTCCGTTAAGACTACAGCAGCCTTCAGCACGTAAAACTGAAGAGTCAAGAACTGCCGAGATATCATCCAGGTCAGAGCTAGACGTCTTCCACTCTTTTCACTTCATATGGCTTACGACTCACAGCTCTGTACGGACAGTGAGTTATAATAGGAACAATAGCAACACTGATTTTTCTCTCATAATGCTTGGTCTGAAATACTCGGGACTTGCTCCTTTTCTCCACTCAGGGTTTTATTATCATAGAACCACTAGCTGCGTAAGTTCCTGCCTTTATGTCCTGGTGATAATGGACTGTCCCTGAAATTTTTAACAATTTTGCTCGCTTGTTTTTGAGACAGGATCAATCTACTTAGCCCTGGATGTCATGGAACTCACTCTGTAGACCAGGTTAGCCTAAAACTCAGAGATTCACCTGCCTCTGCCACCACACCTGGCCTGTGCCTTGCAATTGTGAGCTGAAGTACCTTTTGGCTCCTTGCCTCCCCTAAGTAGCTTTGTGGTTAGTTTTATACCACAGCAGCAGACATCAAACCAGAACACCTCCTAACTACCCGATACATTTTTCTGTTTTGTTTAAAGTTGAACATGGGTACCAAGTCAAGATTATCCTCAATAAATTTTATGATTTTCAGTAACATATTAGACTACAATTTGTATGTAGTCTACCTTAGAACCTTAAGTATACGGTGAGTCAAACAATTGCTTTTTATAATATGAGATGGATTCTAAATAATTATATTTTTGAGCTGGATGGTGGTGGCACACGCCTTTAATTTCAGCACTTGGGAGGCAGAGGCAGGTAGGTCTCTGTGACTTCAAAACCAGCCTGCTCTACAAGAGCTAGTTCCAGGACAGCCTCCAAAACTGTCTCAACACCGCTCCCCCCCAAATAAAAAGAATTACATTTTGAATGTTACCAAATGAAATTCTCTTACCTTGAAATTTTCTGTGACCAGAGTAAACAACTTGGTTGAATTTCCCACAACACAAGCAGTATTTGACATTATTATTTCCAAAGGTGATAAAACTTTGAGTTTAGTGATCACCTGAAATTGTTAAATAATCATTTTCTAAATGTAAACAAAGGGCAGTTTTCAAAGCAGTTTTATATTATTCTAAGAAGTAAATTGTTAAAATGTGCAGATAAAATCCAACAGTTCTACTTCATTGTTTCAGTTAAAATGTATTTCAAATGCTGATGTATTAAACATATCTACCTCAATACAAATATAAAATATCAGAAACATAGGCAATATTTTACTCACTAGTTCTTACCAGTCTAAACTCAAAATTAATCTGAGTTTATCAAATATTAATCCCCATTACAAGATGTTTTGAATTAATGTGCTTCGATTTTCTTCCCTTTTGTGCACAGTCACTTCAAATTTATGAGTTTTAAAAATACTTACCTTTGCATATGTCGTGTTGTCTGCAAACTGTGACAATATAATCTGTGGGCTTTTTAAGTCAATGCTTGCCATTCCTATCTCACCTCTGGCCAGGCCTCTTCCTTCTACCACGGCTACAATGACTGATGGGGCATGTGCAGACACTGCAGAGGATGGGGCTGGTGACCGTGTGCAAAGGAGAACACGTATGAATGCTAATGGCTGTGCATAATTCCTTCATATGAGAAGACAGCAAAGCCCCGAGTCCAGTTATTTTCATATCTTTTACTTACTCTTTGATAACTTCATACATGAAACACAGCGTATATTGACCACTGGTCATACGCACCACCAACCCTGCCCTTCTCTGACTCCATGAACACTCCCACTCCAACACGTCTCCGGCCATCTTTTTTTCTGGGTCCCATTAATGCTGCCTGCAGGAGTGATGGCTGATTCTGTTGCCTTGACCTCTATGGGTCTTGTTCAGGTACCACATCTATTTGGTCCATTCAAAAACAGGAACCTTTACCATTTCTATTTGCTTCCTTGTTTTAGGTTTTCAAGACAGTTTCTCTGGGTAGCTCTGGCTGTCCTGGAGAGATCGCCTGCCTCTGCCTCCCACATGCTGGGATTAAAGGTGTACACCACCGCTACCTGGTGAACATTTATTTTCAAAAAGACAAACAAAACAAAAACTCCATTACTCAAAACAAAGAAAACTATTAAAGCTCAAATATTGTGTCAGGATGTGCATGTGGTGCACACTTTTAGTCCCAGCATTCCAGAGGAGGATCTCTGTGAGTTCAAGGCCAGCCTGGTCTACAAATTGAATTCCAGCACAGCCAGTACTATTATACAGAGAAACCCTGTCTCAAAAAACAAAACAAAACAACCCAAACCAAAACAAATGTAACTTCACTTTAAAGATTTTTTGTTTTGTTTTGTTTTCCTTATTTTTGAGACAGGATATATCCGTATATACCTCACTACGTAGAACTTACCAAGGATAACAGACTGGTCTCTAACTTGAGGCAATCCTCCTGCCTCTGCCTCTCAAGAAGTGCTGAGATTACAGGCATACACTACCAACTGCTGCCAGTTTGCAAGGTTTTTGCAAACTCAGAGGTGGCTATCCCTGTTTCTGGCTACAATTTTCCAATTCCTAGGCTCCCATGCCCAAGCCTTAATTTTATACATAGAAGATAAATTTATATGTTGGCTTATTTTAAATTAATGGAATAAAGTCATTAAAGAATTTTTAATTTGGAGTTAAATTATATATTGCTCATCTTACTCTATAAATGCTAAAATTATTTTATAATAAGTAACAAAGCAGAAAGTATAATGTAGTAACTATCTGTCTAGTGCAAGTATAAACAGAGAAATGCACTGTGCAACTACCAGTGTTCACTAAGTGCTTATCTCATGTCAAGGGCATCTTAAATTACTTACTTCATTTAACTGTTACAAAATTCTATCAAACAAGTACTGCTATTTACTCAATTTACTTTGAGGGAGACTGAGAGATTAATTAGCTCAGTGGTACAGTGAGTGCCTACTATGTGCCAGAACTTAGGTTTGATTCCCAACACTAGTAAGTAAATGAATGAAGGAATGAAGGAATGAAGGAATGAATGGCAAGTATAAAATTTCAAGTGCAAAAAAAGACTTCTCTGTTCAATGTACAGACAAATGCTGAGTCTGGCTGAAATGCAGAAGGTTAGTAAGAAGATGCTGTGAGACACTGGAAGCACTGCAGAGAAACGTCAAGCGGCCCTCATGGTGATGCTCACAAACTGACACTTGATCTGATAGCCACGGAGAAGCAAATTACTAGAAATACTGAATGTAGTGTGTCAAGTTCCATCTTCAGCATTCATATGCTGAGGTTCTAGTCCCTAGTGACCTTGAAGTCCACTGTGCCCTTTACAGAGGTAACTAACTAACATTAAGTGACCCCAGTGACCTTGAAGTCCACTGTGCCCTTTACAGAGGTAATTAACTAAGTGCGCCTTCTGAGTGGCCTAGGACATTATAATGGCATACAAATGTGAGACTAGCAGGACACAGAAACTGTGGGAAGAGACCAGAAAAAACAGCCAAGAGTAAGACAAGTAGAGAGGCCTCAGATAAGAAAATAAATGTTTAAGGCTATCAACTTGTGTTTCTAAAAGAAAGTACAATAACCATAAAAATCATGACTGTGGCTGGGTATGAGAAGACCTCCAGTCATGAGGTGAAGGTTGGCCCCCAGCAGGTGGTGCTATTGAGATGGTGACAGGTACTAAAGGTAGGTACATGTTTGCCTTTGTAAAAGATATAGTGACAACACTGGGCAAACGGATCGTCTCCTCTATTATCACCGTGACGGGGCTACCATCATACTTGCAGTGTGTCTGTCATGTACTCTAAAACATAATGCGGCATCTTACAGTGTATGCACATGTTACATCGCTGTCTTCTCGGGAAGACTCCCTCCAGGAGGATCCATGTCTTCTCAGGAAGGGTAAGCAGGAGCAGTTTCTCCAGGAGGAGATGAGGTGCAGCTACCTGCAGGTCAGGCAGGGAGCGCCAGGAACTCAGCTCTCACCCCACGTCTGGGGGAGCCATTCAGTGAAGCAGCTGTTCTGAGTCACCCCACAATCTCAGGGGGTGAGATCTCAAGCCAGAGCTGGGTGGAGTCATTTCCACGGTCTGCTTCTGATGCTTTATCTAGGGTGGTCAGATGTGTGTCCTTCCCTTCCCAGGAAAAGTCAGGTAACATTTACACACCCCATAGACAAGGCAGATCCTTCTATATGCCCTGTAGAATTGGTGCACACAAAACATCCACTCACTCATCCCTCAACAAAATTGAGTACATTTAAATAAAAATTTAAATTTCAGCATTAAAAAAACTCTCAAAAGTACTATTAGAATCAAAGTTTTCACTTCAGTATCACATGAAAGAGATTTTTCCTTTTGTCAAAATAGTTCAAATAACGCAAGGTTACATGTATTAACCAACGACAGGAAACACATAGCCATGTCACCCTCCCTGAGATGCACATGGACCAATTGACACCTGTATCTTCCAGCTCTCTGTATCACTGAATGAATGATAGATGAACTGCCAATGAGCTAACCACCCAACTGATAATTCAAAGCACTTCAAAGTTTTCAAAGGAACATCAAGGCTAATCTTCCACCAATTTTACCTGAATATCCTACTTGCGGTGTCCAACTTTTATAGCCCGACCTCTGGGGATTTCCTGCAGACAACGGTGTTCTAAACATGTGTGGATAACTGGCATCTTGTGCAGAAGATGAGCTTGTACCAATAGGAAGATGGGGTGCAGCTGTGTGCTTTGCATGAGGTCTTTTGTTCCCAAATGATAAACCTAAATTTGAAAAATAGTGAATAATTCTTAGTGATTAGCATTAAGGAATTATATATTAATCTTAAAATTTATATCTTACTTTCTATAAATTCAATCTGATAGTTTAAACGCTATAACAAATAAATGACTATTGACGATTGTGTCCATGACTTTATTAGTCCGTATTATCTATCACAGTGGTTTCCCGAGTAACGTCTTCATGCATGTGTGTGCTGTATGACTGTGCTCTCCTGTGCCCCGCCTACTCTTCCTGACCCCTCCTCCTCCCAGCCTGCCCCCTTCTACTTTCATGTCTCTTTTGACCACTGATAATTTTTTTGTTTGCTGTTTTTAAGACAAATCTCACTACATACTCAGGCTGTGGTTGAACTCACTATAGGTCCTCCTGAGTGCTGCAATTGCAGGAGTGTGCCAGCACACCTGGCGTGGTAGCCATGCACTAACAGATGCTGATACAGGGCTGGGGTGTAGCTCGGTGAGTACTTGCCTAGTGTGCATGCGGCCCTGAGTTCCATCCTCAGCACCACACAAGCCAGACGTGGTGACGACACACTCCTGCACTCTCAGCACCTGAGAGGTCTCCCACAGAGTGAGCTGAGAGCAGCCTGGGGCACATGGGACTTTCTTCAAAAACATTAATTCATTGCGGAGATATTCTGATATAGCTCTTGCTTTTAGAGTTCACTGAGACTACTCTTGCTAAAATCAGAAGTTCCCTTTCAGCCCCCAGGTATAGTTCATTTTATAATGAAGTGTCTTTTCCTGCCTTAACATCCTTATCTAACAAAGTCAACTTTAGGCTCACTTGGCTTCAGTACTTTTTCAGACAGTTGCTTTCCAACATGATACCCACTTACAGCCATGTCATAACATTTCACCGTGTACATATATAGCCTAGCACAGTATCTGGTAACACAGAAGTTCCAAACAAGCAAGCAAATGAAAACACGGCTGTTTCTCACGCTGTGATTTCTATGCCACGTGTCTTTGATCTCCTTATACTACCTACAGTTTCCTGTATCAAGTTCTCTTTTCTCCGCCTTCCTCATCAGTGTTGGTCTACAGAGTTCCAGACTTTTAAACGTCACTACTAAATCAACATTTTATTTACTCTGGGCATCTCATCTGCTTTCTTGGCTTCTATTGACATCCATTTCCTGATAACTTCCAGATTTTCATTTACATCCTTCACTCATCTCCCACACTGTATATACAGCATGGTTAAGATTTCCAGTGATGGAGCAGAGTGGGTGGTGGCATACACCTTCAATTCTAGCACTCAGGAGGCAAAAGCCAGCCTGGTCTACACAGCGAGTTCCAGCACAGCCAGGGCTACACAGAGAAACCCTGTCTCTAAAACCCCAAAAGAAAAAAAGATTTCCAGTGATAATAACATGACAAATATCTGAAGCTTTGTGACAATACGGTCATTGTCACAGTTATTCTTATTCAATTCAGTACTACAATAGGGTAGTACATAAATCAACAGATGTGACTGTATTGTCTTCGAAATAATTTCTATATATTGAATTTCACATGCCAAAAAACACTGTCTTTAAAAAATTTTTCCAACCCTTTAAAAATTCAAAAGTTGCTGGGAGGTGGTGGCACACACCTTTAATTCCAGCACTCGGGACGCAGAGGCAGGTGGATCTCTATGAGTTTGAGGCCAGCCTGGTCTACATAGCCAGTTCTAGGACAGGCAGGGTTACATACAGGACCCTA